TCGGACCCGGACGACCCAGACACTGACAACACCGACGTATCCTTAGCCTCCGCTTCCGATCACTAATCAAAGAAGAGACATGGTGTTATCAATACAAACCTACTATTTTAGTAACTTTGCTTGTTTACCACTGCGTTCATTGAAACGATTTCACGCCTGTTTTAGCATCAACGCCCTCGGAATGCTCTACTGCTACGGTGGACGGAGACGGTGCGTCTGTCACGTCCTTCCACACGGCTTTTGACGCCGACGGTGATGGTGATGATATGGACGTGGATCCGGATATAAACCTTAAGGGGGGATCCTAGTGTAGCGGCTCAAAAACAAGGCTAATTTTGAGAATTATTTTTAAAAAAACTATAGCTCTTATCAAACTGTACAAAACACCGTTTAAAAGATGGCAGTTTCATCTACAAAACTAAAGTAAAAACGTCCCGATCGCTTGAAAACTGTGGCGACACGCCCGGGTGGAAGATGGCGGGTTTCAGGTGTGGCGCCATGCTGGTCGTACACTTTCCCACGGACTGCTGCGTCTAAAACAGTCGTACGAAACGGTTTTTTGTTCAGGAGGAACCTGGCTATGGTTGGTACTAGGATCTTTGCGATAAAATTATTTTTAGTATTTTTTTGACCAAGTCAAACTTTTAGTTCTGAATTTGAGGTAAAAAGTTTCAATGTTTTAATTGTTTTTTAATATGAAGGGCACCTCCGATCCCAGATCTTCTAGTACCAACCATAGCCAAGTTCCTCCCGAACAAAACACCGTTTCGTACGACTGTTTTAGACGCACCAGTCCGTGGGAAAGTGTACGACCAGCATGAAACTACATGCTCCGTTGTAGCAGGCCGTGTCGCCACAATTTTGAAGATATTAAGACGCTTGTTTTTGCATTTTTTGCATTAAAGTGCCATCTATTAAACCGTGTTCTCAAATTTTCGATACGAGCTACAGTATTTTAAATACAAAATTCGCAAAATAAGCATTGTTTTTGCGCCGCTACACTAGGATCCCCCCTTAATTCTGCACTTTTGCGTAAGTACTCTTTCCCTTTGTATATTTTCCTAGATTAATTAACGCATAGATAAAAAAGCGAAACTAGTTTTTGGTCATGTTTTTCTTGCAGCCGCAGCCGACGGGTCCACGGTCACGTCTACGATTTTGGAGCAGTATGTGCCGCCGTCGCATTTCAAGTTTCCGAAGAGTTATTCCAGTCACCCTTGCCAACATTCATGGTTCAACCAGTGGCCTTGGCTTCACTACGCTAAGGAAAAGAACCATTTACTGTGCTTCACTTGTGTGAAGGCCCGTCAGCTCGGTAAGAAGCCCACAGTCCGCGGCAACCAGGAAGCGTTCATAACTATAGGAATCTCGAAGTTCAATAAAGCTACCGAAAAGTTTTCATCACATGGGGAGAGTCAGTTTCACCGTGATTCAGCGGAATTTGTGGTAAATGCACTTAAGAGAGAGTCAGTGGCAAATCAGTTAAATGCACGGTTAGCGAAAGAACAACAAAAGGCTACAATTGCTCTAGAAAAAATTGTAAGTTCTATCAGGTGCCTTTGTCGCTGAGGGCTAGCACTCCGTGGCCATGATAATGTCTCTGGTAATTTAATGATGCTTTTGGAGGAGCGTGCGTTGTCGTGCCCTGAACTTGCCGAATGGCTGAAACGGCGAGACAAGTGGCTGAGCGGTGAAATTCAGAACGAAATTATTGAAATATTGGCTCATATGGTACAGCGCAAGCTTATTGACATAATCAACAAGAGCCAATTTTTTGCTTTAATGGCCGACGGGACCACTGACGTTTCCGGCGACGAGCAGTTTTGGGTTGCCCTGCGTATAGTTGATCAAAAATCCCTTGCAATCCAAGAACTATTTATGGGAGTATACAACTCCCCTGACGGAACTGCTATGACCCTGCACCGCGTCTGCAAAGACGTACTGACCCGCTCGGGCCTCTCGACCGAAAACCTACGAGGTCATTGCTTCGACGGGGCCTCCGCCATGTCAGGGCGCTTGGGCGGCCTGCAGAAACTACTCGCTGATGATCAGCCAAAGTCACCCTTCGTGCACTCCTCCAACCACGCTCTAGATTTAGCTATACAGGAAGTTTGCAAGGAGTCTGAGCTAATCTCGAACTCCCTGTCCCTCGTCAGAGAAGTTTCCAAGGGAATTCTTGAGTCAGCCAAACGTAAGACGATCTACGACAACATATTGTGATCGAGCCGGATGCCGAAAACATGCAGACAAAAAGACTCCTATCCTTGTGTCCCACCCGCTGGTGCGTGCGCGCGAAAGCCGTTAGGCGGTTTATTGAAAATTATGCAAGAGTAAAAGAAGCCCTTACTTTAATATTAAATGATAAATCGAGCAAAATAGCAGAGACAAGAAGAGCAGCGCTCAGGGGCTATGAAAAGGAAATGAAACAATTTGATACCCTGCTTTCACTGAAAATTGTGCTCTCTGTCTGCGAGCCCGCCGAGCAGCTGGCTAGGAGCCTCCAAAGCAAGTCCTACACTGCAACCGGCGCCATGCAAGCGGCTAAGACCCTGTGGAGGACCTACGACTCGATGGGCGCTGCAGAGTACGACGGCCTTTGAGGCGAAGTAGAGGCCATGAACACCCAGTATCAGCTAGAGCTCAAGATGCGCGAACCCTCTCGGGCTAGAGCCCCTCCCCAGCGGCTCGGCGCACTCGGAAGCAAGGCGGCGCCGACACACTTATCGCCCAGGGACGAAAAACGGCGAAAATACATCTGCATTTTGGACCGGGTTAGTATTTTTCTATTTCTTTGTATGATTTTAAGCATGGCTTAAAATGCGAATTTTAATTTAGAAACTGACTTTCCGTTTCAGGTTAAGAATGAGCTAGATCGAAGGTTTGATCAGCCGGGCATGCAGCAGCTGGCCAATTTAGAGAGCCTCCTTCTGGAGAACTCCGTGGATTTCCTCTCTGTGGAGGCCCTGCAAGCTAAGCTAGGAGTGCACAGCACGGATTTTGACCTCACTAACCTATCTGCCTAGCTTAGAATCAGTAGAACAGTGGTACCGATCACCGTCAAGACTCTGCACGAGTATGCGGATATTACTACCCCCGACCAGTAGGGAAATGCTCAGTGACGTGGAGCGCTTGTTGCTCATTGCGCTCACTGTGCCCGCCACTTCCTGCACATGCGAGCGCTCATTTAGTGCTCTTCGCTACCTCAAGAATTATCTCAGAAGTACCATGACCCAAAAGCGGCTCACACATCTGCTGCTGCTGTTTATCCGTAAGGATTTAACGTTTGACATTAAAATCAGTGATGTACTAAAAGAAGTTGTCAATGGCACTTTTGAAAGGAGGGCAACATTTGGAAAGCACTAGAAAAAAATCTAAATCAAGAATCTATCTTGAAAGCAGATGATACAAATTTGAGAATAGGTCTGCTTTCTAATTTTCTCTCATATTTAAGTGTCATTTGTTTATGGCTGCTTGTTATTACTTGCAATTTTGTAATTCGGGGGACTAGCGGCGTTGATGAGCTAAGGGTGGGGCATAGAGCAGAGCGGCCGCCGTCGGTGGCTTAGTATTGTCTAGTATTGTTGCACAGGGACGGGGCCTGCTCCCTGCCCTGACCTGCCTGCCGCAGTATTGTTAAGTAGAGGAAGGGGCCTGAAGCGCGACACTCGCACTGTTAAAAATTTTTCTCTTAAATTTAATAACACTTTTGTGAAGCATTAACACTAACACTGTTATTGGCTGAGCGATTAGCGAAGCCCATTACTCCACTGACCGGAAAAGTTTCATTCTGTTTGTTTGTCTGTTTCTCTGTTTGTTTGTCCGTCTGTCCGCACGATAACTCGAGAAAGAATAGCGACCTGGGATTTTCAGGGTCGTTTTGTATCATAAAAAGACAGATCGAGTTCGAAGATGAGCATTCTAGCTCAAAAATTGGCTTTTTAAAAAATCAAAAACTACAGGTTGCAATATGTATTTTTATCAAATATTTTTTTATGAGTTCCTAAGGGGTATCTCGTCAAAGTAGAGCCCTATGGGCAAAAATTTCGTCCGTTTGGCTCTATCTTGTACCGTTTAGGTGCTAGGGGGCATTTCTTGACAAAAAGGAGCCGAAAATGATCAAATGGTCGATTCAATCATTAAAAAGACCTTATTTCGAAAAATTGTATATACACTCCTATTACCCCGTCTAGGGTGTCAGCGCCGCAGGCCTAGCTATATGTGCGCCAGGCGCGTCGCAGAGTAACAGTGTTTCGAATCGCGAAACCTGTTACGCGAGACGTGGTCTGGCGTACATATAGCTAGTTAAATTTAATAACAAAAGTGTTATGAAAAGTCATAACATTTATGTTATGAAATTTCATAACACATGTTGTGAAAAGTAACAACATGAGATTGTGAGAGTTCCGAATCGATCAAAGAAGGTCCGGGGATTGCTCTGCATATATACTTCCATTGTTAGCGACACTATCAAATTAGACAGTTGACAATAGTTAAAAATTACTGTGCCTGACGCATCCTTTTCTTACGAAAGGACAGGCACAACTCGAGGGTGACGGGACGGCACCCTAGGTGAGAGGCCGTTGAATATTGTCAGCGCGAGCTAAATGTTACTAAGCGACAACGCCATACTATGTGTCGAATGTTAACGTTAAGATGCAGACGATGTGAGGATAACCGTTCTTATTCTGAAAA